CCCCTCCTTCCCCACGGGGGGCTGGGCCCCCTCCCCCCCAGTGTTATCCGCCCAGGGGGTGCTGCCCTTCAGTTCCCTGGGGGAGTCAAAGTCTGCTTTTCTGAAGTCCAGGGTCTGTATTCTGCTGCTCTCCTTTCTTCCTTGTGTCAGGATCCTGAACTCTAGCATCTCATGGTCACTGCCTCACAGGTTCCCACCCACTTTTGCTTCCCCTACTAATTCTTCCCGGTTTGTGAGCAGCAGGTCAAGAAAAGCTCTGCCCCTAGTTGGTTCCTCCAGCACTTGCACCAGGAAATTGTCCCCTATACTTTCCAAAAACTTCCTAAATTGTCTGTGCACCGCTGTATTGCTCTTCCAGCAGATATCAGGGTGACTAAAGTCTCCCATGAGAACCAGGGCCAGCGATCTAGTAACTTCTGCTAGTTGCCAGAAGAAAGCCTCGTCCACCTCATCCCCCTGGTCTGGTGGTCTATAGCAGACTCCCACCACAACATCACCCTTGTTGCTCACACTTCTAAACTTAATCCAGAGACTCTCAGATTTTTCTGCAGTTTCATACCGGAGCTCTGAGCAGTCATACTCCTCTCTTACATATAATGCAACTCCTCCACCTTTTCTGTCCTGCCTGTCCTTCCTGAACAGTTTATATCCATCCATGACAGTACTCCAATCATGTGAGTTATCCCACCAAGTCTCTGTTATTCCAATGACATCATAGTTCCTTGACTGTGCCAGGACTTCCAGTTCTCCCTGCTTGTTTCCCAGGCTTCTTGCATTTGTGTATAGGCACTTTAGATAACTCACTGATTGTCCCGCTTTCTCAGTCTGAGACAGGAGTCCTCCCCTCTTGCACTCTCCTGCTCATGCTTCCTCCTGGTATCCCATTTGTCCACTTACCTCAGGGCTTGTGTCTCCTTCCCCTGGTGAACCTAGTTTAAAGCCCTCCTCATTAGGTTAGCCAGCCTGCTTGCGAAGATGTTCTTCCCTCTCTTCGTTAGGTGGAGCCCGTCTCTGCCTAGCATTCCTCCTTCTTGGAACACCATCCCATGGTCGAAGAATCCAAAGCCTTCTCTCTGACACCTTCTCTCTGCGTAGCCATTCGTTGACTTCCACAATTCAACGGTCTCTACCCAGGCCTTTTCCCTGCACAGGGAGGATGGACGAGAACACCACTTGCGCCTCAAACTCCTTTATCCTTCTTCCCAGAGCCACGTAGTCTGCAGTGATTCGCTCAAGCCAATTCTTGGCAGTATCATTGGTGCCCACGTGGAGAAGCAGGAAGGGGTAGCAATCCGAGGGCTTGATGAGTCTCGGCAGTCTCTCCGTCACATCGGGAATCCTAGCTCCTGGCAAGCAGCAGACCTCTCGGTTTTCTCAGTCGGGGCGGCAGATAGATGACTCAGTCCCCCGGAGGAAGGAGTGCCCGACCACCACCACCCTCCTCCTTCTCTTGGGAGTGGTGGTTGTGGAACCCCCATCCCTAGGACAGTGCATCTCATGCCTTCCAATCGGTGGAGTCTCCTTCTGCTCCCTTCCTCAGATGTATCATCTACTCCACTCTCCACATTAGTACCTGTGGAGAGAACATGAAAACGGTTGCTCACCTGTATCTCCATTGCTGGTACATGGACGCTCCTCTTTCTTCTTCTAGAGGTCACATGCTGCCAATTTTCTTCACCGTCCCTCAGTCCCCTCTGCGCAACCTGCTCCGATTCTTCAGAACATTGTGCCTGTAGAAGCATATCCTGACGTCTGTCCAGGAAATCTTCATTTTCTCTTATGCAACGCAGGGTTGATACTTGTTTCTCCAGACCTCTAACCTTCTCTTCCAATATGGAGACCAGCTTGCACTTTGTACAGACAAAGTCGTTTCTGTCCTGTGGAAGAAAGACAAACATGGCACAACCTGTGCAGGTACTTTAATTCTTCTTAACCAGGGGTAACTCATGCTACATAATCCTTCCATGCAACACGTGCTCCATACTTGATGCTGTGTCCTCCTCATTTCATACAGCCCTTCCCTGAAACACAACCATGTACCATGGTCTTTCCCAGGAGATGGGACTGTAGGTAATGGTTGAGGTGCACTGGCTATGGTGGAACTCTGAGTTCCTTTATCCTCTCTGTTAGCAGAAACATGCCAAAGAATAGTGTGAATGCTTCTGGCTGGTCCTATTCATCTCAGTGTGTGGCTTGGCCTTTCATTGGTATCAGATATGCAGAAACCAATGGACAGTAATTTACCAAGCTGATGCTGCCTCCATCATTGTTATTACTTGTTGTTGTTTGACTAACCCTGCTGGCTTCTTTTAAGGATGCAGCGTGAGCAGATCCAGTCTCAGGGCAGCAGCGAGATGGACCCAGGCCCTCCTGAGTTCCATTTCACCATCACAGATTCTGAGCTACTGACAAGCACAACCCAGGAGCTAAACCAGCTGCGAGAGGACAAAGCAAAACTAGAGACACAGCTGCATGAACTGCAGGAGATGGTAACCACATGCTTCACTGGATTACTGTTGTGCAGGGAGTGGACTTGTCAGGTGGAGGGAGAGGTTCAGTTTGATCTCATTTTCCCCTCTTGATCCTCTAGTGCAGTGGTTCTCAACCTATTTACCATTATGGGCCACATCCAATACTACATGTATGACCCTGAGGATGTTACATGGGCTGCAGCTGTGTGCTGATTGGGCCACAGGTTGAGAACCACTGCTCTAGTGTTCGTTGTAACCCAGGCTGCCCTTCTGGGGGGCAGCACCAGGGATGGCCCATGCTCTCCATCCCTTTGTGCCTCTCCTTGTGACAACTGTGAAGAGGTGAGACACCTGACAACAGCTGTCATGTCTAGTATAGTAGCACCTGCTGGACCTCTGCAGTGTGTAGGTTTGCACACTGCAGAGGTTGCAGGGATGACAAAGAGATCTGTGGGGGAAGGTTGTTCTTCAGTCTGGGGATCATGGAGGAAGCCAAGGAATGAATAGTCCATAACTACCTTAAGGATACTATAGTTGCAGCCTCACTTTTTGAAGAAAAGCCAGGGAGGCAAGAGAGGGCAGAGCAAAGATTTCACTACCCTTGGAAGCTTTACTGTCTTGGCAAAATAAAATATACAAGGAGTTGAATGGCAGACAATACATGGAAAGGTTCCAATTTTATCCATTTCCTCCCCTTAATTTTGCCCAAGAGCAGTTATGTTCCTAAGGTCTTAGCTCAAATGAGCTACCTTTTACTTCCCAGTAGAGAGAGAGAGAGCCACAAGCCTTGAGAACATCTTGCAGAGCACTTCCTTATTAGTGTCAGTGGTGGCCATTTACCATACTGAGATGTCCAATGCTGGCCCTGCAAAGAAACAGGGATTCCATTGGGTTAATGTCACAAAGATGATGTTCTTCCTTTGCCTACAGAAAAGACTGAGTGAAAGCTCTGCGCTAGGACCATCCCTTCACCAGTAAGTAGCTTCCATTTATGTAATTGGTATTGTAATCTCCGTGTCAAAGGTGGCTGCCTCCTTCATCCCTCTGCATTACACTATGGATCCAGGACTTGCTTCAGCTGTTTGGGGATAAGGTACTAAATAGGGACAGGAGAGGCCATGCTGACTGAAATAATTTAACACAAAAACGTATGTGAGTGGAAATGTCAGTTCTTCTTCGAGTGGTGTCCCTGTGGGTGCTCCACTCTAGGTGTCGGTGCGTCCCTGCGCCGGAGATCAGAGATTTCTCGCAGCAGTACTCAGTCGGGGGGAGGGCATGCACAGGAGTCCTCTCATGCAGCCGTTGGCACCTCCTGTAGCACGTACTCCCCTGACCGTCCACTCAGTTCCTTCTCCACCATCCTCGGTTGCAGACGGAACTCCGTGGCAGTGCTCTCTTTGATACTTTCTGGGGGGAAAAATAAACAAAGTTACAAGTTAAATAGGAACTTCTTATTAGTCTATACTTAGTTACATTGTTTAGTTAGTCTTAGTCTACATAGTTTCGTTAGTTCCTCTTAGAGGTTTTTCTTCAAAAACAAACCAAAACCAAAAAAAAAAAAAAGAGACGAAAGAAGACTCTTTCTCTGCTTAACTCCCAGTTTGGGAACAGTTTCTACAATTTACCACTACAATTAACTTCTATTCTTATCTCTTGAGAGTGGGGAGAGGTTTAACTGCAGTCATGCCGGGCTCAACAGGATTTAAAAAGTGTGACTCCTGCTGTGAACCGATGCCGGTCTCTGGCCACATATCCTGCATTCGCTGTCTGGGAGAAACTCATCTCTCCCAGAAATGCATACATTGCACCAACTTAACAGCAAGGGCAAGACGTGAGAGGGATCTCTGCTTGAAAATGCTTCTGCTGGAGAAATCCCTCCAACCTCCGCAAGAGACGTCCTCCGGGGCGTCTCATAAACCGAGATCTCTGAGCTCTGATAAGGCTCCGACTTCCAAAACTGTCAGGAAGCGAGCCTCGACCTCTCCGGCAAGGGTCTCTCAGAAAAAGAGAGCTTCTCCAGTGAGGTCTTTACCCTCAGTGCTCCACTCATCCAGAGTGAGCACTTACGAGGCACTGGGCTCCTCTGGCACCATCCCTCAGAGGACCCCTGCCGAGCCCCAACACGTGGCACCGGAGCTGACATGTCAAGTCTCCTCCATGGCACCGACTACCCTGGTGCAGAGGAGGACCTCCCCAAGCATAAACATCCTCAACTCAACATCAACGAGGGTCAGTTAATAGCCCGCACAGCGCTGCAAGCCTCAATGGATGTAGCAGACACAGCTGCCCGAACAACCACAACAGCTGTAGTTATGAGAAGAACATCATGGTTGCAGGCTTCAGGAATTCCAAAAGAACTACAGCTAAAAGTGGAGGACTTCCTCTTCGATAGGGATAAACTATTCTCATCTCAAACAGACATCGTCCTCCATACCATGAAGGCCTCCCGAGCAATGCTGCGTACACTAGGCATACACCAACCGCCTAACAAATGCCCTTGTTTTACACCATACCAGAGGTCACGAGACACCTTGTTTAACCGTCAACAACCACAATACTTCACTCAGAACAGACCCAAACAACGGGCTCAGAGACAACGAGCTCCACAGAACTAGGCCTCGTCCGTCTGTCCATCTACATCTAAGCCACAATTTTGAAGTCTTGGTCAAGGGTATGCACGACTTCCTCATGCCACTAGCGCCAACAGATACCCCATCCCACAATTTTGGTCACCGCGTATGCCCATTTTACCATGCCTGGGCTGCAATAACCACAGATCAATGGGTTTTGGAGCTCATACAATCTGGCTACACCATTCCTTTCACAGCCATCCTCCCGACCCTCTCCCCTTCCCCATCCCTCTTCAGGGACCCCTCTCATGAGCACCTTCTGCAACAGGAAGTAGACCACCTCCTACTGCTGGGTGCTGTAGAACCAGTACCACATCAATACCAAGGGAAGGGTTTTTATTCCAAATATTTCCTGACAGAGAAGAAAGGAGGGGGATGGAGACCAATCTTAGCTCGCCGAAAACTCAACAGGTTCGTATGCAACCACAGGTTCAAAATGGTCACTCTGGCCACAATAATCCCAGCGCTAGACGGGGGGGACTGGTTTGCAGCCCTCGACCTCCAAGATGCATACTTCCATATTACAATACATCCTGCCCACAGACAGTTCCTGCGGTTCACAGTGGGAGCCAACCACTACCAATACAGGGTCCTTCCCTTCGGACTGTCCACTGCTCCCCACGTATTCTCAAAAACGCTCGCAGTAGTATCAGCACATTTACAACGCAAAGAAGTCATAATCTTCCCTTATTTGGACGATTGCCTTCTCAAGGGTGCCAATCGACAAATGGCAGGCATGCTGAAGACCACAATAGACCTATTTCACCAGCTAGGTCTACAGATAAACAAAAAGAAATCCACCCTGGAACCAACCCAGCAATTGGAGTTTATCGGAGCCGACCTAGACTCCATACAAGCCAAGGCAATATTGCCAAACCACAGATTCACTACATTGACCAATCTTATTTCCACAGTGACCATCAGCCCACAAACTTCAGTGAGGACATGCCTTCAGATTCTGGGACATATGGCAGCTACGACTTTCATAGTAAAGTATGCCAAACTCCACATGTGCTGTCTGCAGCACTGGTTGAGCACGAGCTATGCATCCAGCAAACACTTCCTTAACAGACATGTGATGCTACCACCAAGGGTTATCCTCTCCCTACAATGGTGGACACAGCCAGGGAATGTATGCTCCGGGATTCCCTTTCAACAAGACCCCCCCATCAGTGACTATTACAACAGATGCCTCCCTGATAGGTTGGGGCACCCACTTGGGTCACCACAATGTACAATGCAAGTGGTCTGCGACGAAAACCTGACTACATATCAATCTCCTGGAACTACAGGCAGTACACAATGCATGCCGACACTTCCTCCCACTCATACAAGAAACCTCAATGTCTATTCTCACCGACAATGTGGTGTGCATGTTTTACATTAATCGCCAAGGAGGAGCCAGGTCTCACTCGCTATGCGTAGAAGCCATGAATTTATGGAACTTCTGCATCCACAGCATCATACCTACCAGGGTGCCAAAACACTACAGCCGACAACCTCAGCAGGCACTTCTCACAAGAACACGAGTGGGAAATCCACAACAGTGTTCTCGGCACAATATTCCAAAAATGGGGTCACCCAGTAATCGACCTTTTTGTCTCTGCAACAAATCACAAATGTCCACTATTTTGCTCGAGGGCAGGCCTGGCACCGGGATTGTTAGGGGATGCCTTCCTCATCCTGTGAAACGCGTCACTCATGTACGCCTTCCCGCTGATCCCACTGATCCCACACGTCAGCTGCAAGATACGACTCGACAGAGCATACATCATTCTCATTGTCCCCACATGACCCAGACAGACTTGGTTTCCATACCTCTCACGTCTAGCAGTCTGTGCCCCACAACCGCTGCCTTTCCGGACGGACCTCCTGTCCCAGAACAAGGGCCTGACTCTCCATCCAGAGAGATATCCTAGCAGATATACAGAGCATGTACCCAGAAGTACGCCAACCTGCACCACCATGGGATCTCAATCTTGTGCTCAAATGTCTCACAAGACCACCCTTTGAACATCTAGCAACCTGCTCACTCCTACATATGTCAATGAAGGTCACATTCCTAGTGGCAATCACGTCTGCAAGATGTGTCAGCAAAATAGGAGCATTGATGGCTGAACCACTGTACACTGTATTTACCAAAGACAAAATCATGTTATGTCCTCACCCAAAATTCTTGCCCAAAGTGGCTACAAATTTTCATATTAACCAAATCATATACTTACCTGCCACCTATCCCAAGCCACATAACAACTCTAGAGAGGCAACGTTGCACATGTTAGATGTCAGATGGGCTGTAGCCTTCTACTTGGACAGAACTAAACCATTTTGCAAGTCACCAAGACTATTCGTCTCTACAGCAGAGCGCTCCAAGGGCTCTACAATATTGACCCAGAGACTCTCCAAATGGGGGTCTACCTGTATTCAAACTTGCTGCCACCTGCATCACTAAGAACCCCCTGTGGGCATCAGATCCCACTCAACGCGAGCCATAGCGACATCAATTGCATTATTGAACAATGTCCCCTTAATAGATATTTGTACAGCTGCAATCTGGACATCGGAGGACACTTTTGCAAAGCATTACGCTATCACCGAAGGCCTTGTCTCAGACTCTATTGTTGGCCTCACAGTGCTCTCATCACACACTTATACATAACTCTGAACCCCTACCACCTCTGGTGGGGTACTGCTCTACAAGCACCTAGAGTGGAGCACTCACAGGGACACCACTCGAAGAAGAAGTTATTCACCTTGTGCAATAACGATGGTTCTTCGAGATGTGTGTCCCTGTGGGTGCTCCACTACCCACCCTCCTCCCCTCTACTTTGGAGTTCACACAGCCAAACTCTGTGGTGGAGAAGGAACTGAGGGGACAGTCAGGGGAGAACGTGCTACAGGAGGTGCCAATGGCCGCATGAGACGACTCCTGTGCACGCCCTTCCCCTGACTGAGTACTGCTGTGAGAAATCTCCAACGCTGGGCCGCACCGACACCTAGAGTGGAGCACCCACAGGGACACACATCTGGAAGAACCATCGGTACTGCACAAGGTGCGTAACTTCTTCTTTTGTCAGATACAGCATGCTTGGTCTTGAAATGAGGTAGCCATTGAGACCCTAATTTTAATCATACTTGTAGTTCCATTGATTTAAATGGGATTACTTGTGTCCTTAAAGAATCAGGGCAGTCATGTTTCTGCTTTCTCACAGTACATGAACACGCTTGCAAGTTTTGGGTGGAGTAGGGGCTGGTGCAGGTGTGCCACAACTGTATCTGGTACCTCCTAGATTTGGTTTCTTGTCACTTATTAAATAGTTTTTGAGTTATCTTTCTTTCCTCGCTACTGAGACTTTAATTACCTAGATCACAGAAAGAAAACAGATGTTAGGACAAAACTGTTAAGATCAGAAATATGCCTCCTGCAGGGTGCACTGTAGCTGCAGGAGACACACATGGCCTCATGTCCTTAGGGTCTACAGAGGACACTGTCCCCACTTCTCTCTAAGGGATCCATCTTTCCAGGAAGCAGTGATAGGTAGAGCCCTGTGCGTATACAAAGTTTGTATCCGCATCCAATCCACAAACATGGTCCGTGGATATAAAGTGGATAGCTGCAGATTTGCAGGACTCTAGTGATAGGAAGTAGTAGTGACTCAGGAACTAAGAAGAGATGCTGCAATCCAGAGCAGAGAAGTGTACAGGCTGAGATGGGCCTGCCATTGCCGCTGTCCTCAGTTCTGCCATGATATGGGTATGTGTTTAAAGATACTTGCT